GGCATGCTCTGCTTATTTAAATAACATTCTGTTCACAAAACATCAAGAGAATTCATTAAAACCTTTATCACTAACAGTACTGTCATTAATAGCAAAATAGTTTCTGAGTCTGACTTTATAAACTGCTAAACCTGTGCCCCTCATTTATTAATTTCTTTCAATCTGACTTACTTTTCTGAAACTGCTCTCTCCAAGGTTGCTAATGATTTCCTTACCACCAGATCCAATAATATCTTCTAACCCCTCATCCTTTTAAAACCTCCTAGATATAATATATACTGATGACCACTCCCTCCTTGGAATTCTTTTCTCCCTCAGGGTCTGTGACACTGGTGCTTCTTCCTTTCATTTTCTTCTAGCTCTGGCTCTTCCATGTTCCTTCTTGTTTCCTAAACGTAGGCATTGTTTTTGCTTTTTAGTTTGTCCAGAAGGAGAAGAATGGGCATGTTTGTTTACTTATTTAACCTCAACTTTATCCATCAATGGGCTTCCCTGCTGGCTCAGACAAAAAGAATCTGCCTGCAATGCAGAGGCCCAGGTTCGATCCCTGGTTTGGGAAGATCCCCTGGAGAAGGAAATGGCAGCCCACTCCAGTGTTCTTGCCTGGAGAATCCCAAGGACAGAGGAGCCTGGCACACAGGGTCACAAAGAATTGGACATGACTGACCAACACTTTCACTTTATCTCTCAAGAGTCTCACTTGGCACTGTTATCCAACAGTTAACCTACTTCCACCATCACCTACCTATAAGTGCTTCCTGAATCTGTGGTCTTCACTTCCAACTGTGTGTATGACATCAGCATTTAAATGTTCCACCGGCATTTCACATTCAATCTGTCTAAAATTAACTCATTATCTTCCTTACCAAACCAGGCCCCTCTTCTTTAACTTCTGCTACCCCACGTTAGGGCTTCCCTGATGTTTCAGTAAGTACAGAAACTGCCTGAAATTCAGGAGACCCGGGTTCGATCCCTGGGTCCGGAAGATCACCTGGAGAAAGGAATGGCAACCCAGTCCAGTATTCTTGCCTGGAGAATTCCATGGACGGAGGAGCCTAGTGGACTACGGTAGTCCATGGGGTTGCTGAGTCAGACAGGACTAAGCCACTAACACTTTCACTTTCACTTTCCCCCTAGTTAATGGCATCTCCTACCTCTCAGTTATCCGAGCTCCAAACCTTAGACTCAATTCTTATTCCTCAATTTCCTTTGCTTACCTATCTAATAATTTGATTTAAAAAAAGTAAAAGAAATACAGCTTCTACCTCCTCTTACCCTGGGTCTATCCCTTTGTTTCTGTTCATTCCACCTCCTCTACTTTTAACCGGTTCAGGCTTCCCCTACACTGATGCAACTGCTGTACCAATCCCATTTCTTAATTTTTCACTTCATGCAAGATCTAGCATAGTGATTTCTACAGAGTAACCTCAACAAATGTTTGTTAAATGAATTAAAGAAAGGAAAAAGTTTTCAGAGAGCATGAAATTGTGAACAATGAAGATCAGAAAAGGTAAACTGCTAAGTTTTAAAAGCCTGGATATTAAATTGGAAAGAAAGGTCTTAGAGATGCTAACTTTAAAATTCTAAATATATTAACACTTGGTGGCCTGTTCTGTGACAGAGTAAAGAGAAAAATCTGACAAATGAATTTCTTTTATCATTTTGGAAAGAAACATGACATAGTCTTAATCCTTTAAAATTCCTTTAAATTCTAAAGAAATCCCACTGAGGTATTCACGATTATGGTTATTCAAAATTCCAGAGGTATGATTTTTAAAACCTAGTGGCAATCTTTTAGGTATAGTATATTCTTTCATAATTTTGTTTGTCAAGCAGAATTCCCAAAGCCCTAACTTTCAGTAACTTAGATGTCAGTATGAAAAAGGTCATTTTTTTTTGCCACAGATTAGGAGGTGAAAACCATTTTTAAAATATAAATGCATACTCTCCCTTTCTGTTGGTCACTTGTTCTAGGTTAGTGAATTTTTTAAAATAATCTATTAAAAAATGTTTCTGTACAAAAATCCCTGGTGAAAGTCATTCTTATCAAGATAACTTTCAGAAATTTTATGGAAGCTTCTTTTTCATATATAGCTTTAGATTTTAGTAACATTTGGGACTATCAAATATACACATTTTTAAATGTTTAGTGACAGCTTTAAAATGGAGAGATAGTGCTTTAAACGAATGACTGAAAAATCTTTAGAAATGTATCCAAGCCTATCATTCTCTGCATTTGGGAAGGATTGTTTACTTCCTGACACACATTTTCACATAATGCATAGAATGAAAATCCTGCATTTGTGTATCATGAGATTGTGCATTTGGCAAAAATCTGAAATGTCTGATAAAAGAAGATAATTGCTACTTGAAATAAAAATTATATATATTTATTATAAGAACCAAATTAAACAGATTGCATCAGTCTTCCTAATCCATTGATCAATATAGTAAATATAATATGCCAAGAGCTTGAAAATTTCTACATTTCTTCAAACTTTTAGAGTCCTTCAAATGCAATGTATATAGTATTTTGCTGTTTGCTTTGTCTCTTTACTCTTAACCTGACAATCAATTTTTCTAAGTTTGGTGATATAAGGAGTCAAAAAGAAATTAGCTACGAACAAATAATGTTATGATCTAAACAACTGAAGTGATAATTTTATATCTGAGAATTTGTAGATGATATAAAACTTTTGACTATTACTGTACTAAACATACCTTTAAAAAAAACCCTGTTGTGGAAGATGCAGACTTTAATGTTTTCTCCAGTGGAGTTAATGAACTAAATGGAAAATATCTCATTAATTTCTTAAATTCCCTTGTGAGGCAAGAAAATGACATTCTCATCTAACAGCTGGAAAAACCAAACTAGTAGCTGTAACTGCACTCAACTGCAAAGGAAAATAGTAGCTTTAATATACCCTGAGTTGTGGATATGAAAGAATACTGCATACATGTGTCCCCTCCCTCATTTTTAAGGAATCAATACCTGCTTCTTGAATTTAAGGAAAGTTAAACTCTTGGAACTTGGCCATATACCTTTTTGCAAAGTAAATTATTGTCTCAAAGGCAGGCTGTGCAGTCACCCTTTAAATTTACTTTTAAAAAGTTTTTCCCTAATCCATACAACCTAAGATTGGGCATATCATGGATTTTCAGCAAACTTATTTGTCACTTATCCTATAGATTTTTTAAAACTGTAAAAATTCAGGAAATATTAACTCTTTGCAAAGTATTGGGACAGTAATTGGGAAGTAACAAATAACAAACTGAATTGATTTGTAGTTCCACAGAAATGAATTTGACATTTCAGTTACAAGTTGTAAACCAATGTATAGTTTTAAACACTTCTGAATTTCCTTGTTTTGCGAAAAAGTAGAATGTTTCACTAGAATGGAAATGCCCTCAAGTTATTTCCAGTACTGCTGTAGAATTGATTTTTCTAGTTTAAGAGAATGCCAAAGTTAGGTCGTGTATATATATATGTATATACATATATATACATATATATATACACACACACACACACACATATACATACATATGTATATTAATCATTGTCTATTTCTCTTAACTGAGTTTAAGACATGGCAAAACAAATCAGGAATATATAACTTTGTTTCAGTATTACCAACATAGGGCTTTGTGTAATGACTGTGACATCATGACAGTGAAGTATTCATTTTTAAGCTTTAAACCAGAGAAAGCTTTACCTTGGTATGTCCAATAGAAATACAATATGCAAATTAACCCATATTATCTGTATGCTGATTGGCTTGAGTTCCCCCGAATGTCACAATCTCACCACCCAGCAATGAGGTATTTTACTGCTGTCTGGAGATCAAATTATTGCTGTACAGAAGATCTTTATTTTTTCTGTTTCATTAACAGATTATTATAAAGCAATGAGCATGCAGGAGGAGAAGCAGATCTTTTACCTTGGGAATTAATGAAAGCATTTCTGATCTTTTTTTTTGGAGATGGGGAATTGTTTAAAATCTTATACCACCCGCACAAATTCTTCTGAAATGGTAAAATAAGGAAATGCATGATTCCAGAGACATCCTTAAGCACCCAGGTGTCAGGCTATGTGCTGTCTTGTGATATCATCGGACCTTTTGAACGGGTGTAAGTTTCATGAATCGTTATATTCCTAGTATTTCTCTACCGTAAAAACAAAGGGGAGAAGGAAACTCATATACACACAACTGCTTTAACGTTACCAATCTATTGGTCAGTCGTACTTGCAAGAAAATGAAAGGCTGTTGCTTGGTGGGGTGGAATGCGAGGAATGGTCATTTAAAATTTGTGTAAGCCTGATTCTACAGTCATTTTCGTCAAGGTAGCATGGACATAAATCATTTTGCAGTTTTCCTCTGAACTTGGCTTCTCCCTACTTACCGCGCATCTGCGTGCACTGGAGAACAGATGACTAACAAAGAAAGGGCTACCCTAACCTGGTTTCCCTTCTTCCCCATTGACAAGAATTTTCCTGACTGAGCTTTTTTTCTTTTTAAAAAATTTCTTTTCTTTAGCCCCACCCCCCCAGCTAACCTGCAAATGCAGTCAGCTGGAGATATCTTTAAAGAAGAAAGCTAAAAGAAGCTGCCAATGCTTTGGACCACCCTAAGAGAGCATGGGAAAAAAATGTTTGGGGAAAGCGGGGTTTCAGGAAGCTGAGGTCTGGGCAGGCACCCCCAGCACCGGGATGCGCTGCCCTAAGCGAAGAGGGTGGGACTGAGGTCCTGAACTAGTCTTTCCAAATCCCCACGTCCAATGCAGGGAGGGAAAAGTTCAGAAGCAGCCACAGGGGACAAAAGCCCATTTTTACCAGTTCAACAGGACAGGACATTCAATAAACCCAGCCCGCTCTGGAAACGGGTCGGGGCTCCAGTTGGCTCCACAGAGGCAGAAGTAGCCCCTGCCGCCGCCCTCGCCACGGCTGCCGCCGCCGCCGCGGCCCCTGCGTTACTGGGGGAGACGGTGCCGCTGCGACAGGGGAGGACGCGGCTGGAGCTCAAGGAGGCTCCATCGCGCAGGCGCCGCCGAGCCCTGCCTGGATGCTCAGTCAAGGCACTAAGGCAAAAAAAAAAATCAGCAATTTATAGAAAGAAGAAGCTATAGTCTGTCGGGATATCCAACACCAACAGGTAGGAGGATATACTCTCGGTTAAGTTTGGGGGGAGGGGGCGCACAGTGCTGATGAAACTGCAGGTTCACCGGGAAGGAGCCCTCCTTGAGTTTTTTTGTGTGTGGGTTTTGTGTGTGTGTGTGTTTTTACAATAAACTGCATAATGGAAGTACATTCAGACAATGCATCTTCAGTAGGGCTTATTGAGAGCTCCATTTCTGGAAAGCGTTGCAAGACTGAGGAATATCGGACTGCGAATCACCGGGAACAGTTCCCTTGCAGCACAGAAGCAATCTCTCTCCCCATCTTCGCGTATGTAATGCATGTCTCTCTCCCCCTCCCCCTCCTCCACCCCCCCATTATAAATCCAGGGGTGGCGGATTTCAGGTTTCATAATGTTGCATGATGCGATCGGTATTTACCCGGGGATGTACCGGTGAGGAAATTAAAATCATCCAACGCAGTTTTGCCTGGGCTTCTATCAGCATATTCCAGGCAAGTGAGAAGTGGCAAAGGAAACATGCTTCGTGGGAATAACAGAGGAAACCGATTTCCCTGGTGGGGTTCCCAAACACCTAGGAGACAATGTGCATTTTCGTTTTAAAATGAAGCTACTTGCGATTTGCAACGAAGATTGTCAGTGAAAATGGTAAAAGCTTAATTGCCCAAGAAATACAGGTTCATGTTAAATTCATTTGAAACCAGGCAGCCAAGGTTTACAAATGAAAGTGCATTATTCCTCTGGGTGTTTCCCTGACGAGTATTTACATTAACTATTTCTAATAATCATGTGGGTTTAAAAGAGAAAAGATTTGCCAGAAATGGGGGATGGGAAGGGAAGGGAAAGACAAAAGATTAAATCAAATCAAATCCTGGGACAAGTTCCTATTAATTTAGAAGTCTAATGTTGAAATTATGCTTTAAGATGAATCAACAAATATTCTTCTTATAATATGCAGCATGAAAAGTGGCTCTAGAGTTAAAAGATGTATTTTGCAAGGGTTCATTGGATCCATATCAGCAGAGAAGCTGCCGGGAAAACACTGACAGATACTAACAGACCCCTCAAATAAATGTGGGTAGTCTCCTGTCTCCTATTAGCGATCTTGTAGATTCCATTGCAACACCAATGATTAATTCCTAGACTGGCATATTTTATGCTTGGGGAACATTTTATTCCTTCTAGGTGCCCAATCAAATGTATGTTCTTTTAAATAGGGACATTTTAAAATTCATCTAGCTCAGAAAACTAAACAAGTCAATTCTCTGAAATCTCAAGCACAAATACTAAAGCAAATAGTATTATTCAAAATTTAAACTTTATTTGCTTCCCCATAAATGAACAGCTGTATATTAGCACTGCCTAACATCATTGCTTGTTAACTTAAAAACTGATAGCTTCTTGTTGCTGTTTTTTTTTTTCCAGATATTCTGATGGCAAATCAAGTGAAAGAAAAGAGGAAGCATGACTGCAGATCGGATCCGTTCTCTTTGTGGATTACATTTTCAGTAAAATGTATGGATCTATCTTTTCCTTGTTCTTATATCTAGATCATGAGACTTGACTGAGGCTGTATCTTTATCCTCCATCCATCTATGGCGAACTATAGCCATGCAGCTGACAACATTTTGCAAAATCTCTCTCCTCTAACAGCCTTTCTGAAACTGACTTCCTTGGGTTTCATAATAGGAGTCAGCGTGGTGGGCAACCTTCTGATCTCCATTTTGCTCGTGAAAGATAAGACCTTGCATAGAGCACCTTACTACTTCCTGTTGGATCTTTGCTGTTCAGATATCCTCAGATCTGCAATTTGTTTCCCATTTGTATTCAACTCTGTCAAAAATGGCTCTACGTGGACTTACGGGACCCTGACTTGCAAAGTGATTGCCTTTCTGGGGGTTTTGTCCTGCTTTCACACTGCTTTCATGCTCTTCTGTATCAGTGTCACCAGATACTTAGCTATCGCCCATCATCGCTTCTATACAAAGAGGCTGACCTTTTGGACGTGTCTGGCTGTGATCTGCATGGTGTGGACTCTGTCTGTGGCCATGGCATTCCCCCCAGTTTTAGATGTGGGCACTTACTCATTCATTAGGGAAGAAGATCAATGTACCTTCCAACACCGCTCCTTCAGGGCTAATGATTCCTTAGGATTTATGCTGCTCCTTGCCCTCATCCTCCTAGCTACACAGCTTGTCTACCTCAAGCTGATATTTTTTGTCCACGACCGAAGGAAAATGAAGCCAGTCCAGTTTGTAGCAGCAGTCAGCCAGAACTGGACTTTTCATGGTCCTGGAGCCAGTGGCCAGGCAGCTGCCAATTGGCTAGCAGGATTTGGAAGGGGTCCCACACCACCCACCTTGCTGGGCATCAGGCAAAATGCAAACACCACGAGCAGAAGAAGGCTATTGGTATTAGATGAATTCAAAATGGAGAAAAGAATCAGCAGAATGTTCTATATAATGACTTTTCTCTTCTTAACCTTGTGGGGCCCCTACCTGGTGGCCTGTTATTGGAGAGTTTTTGCAAGAGGGCCTGTAGTACCAGGGGGATTTCTAACAGCTGCTGTCTGGATGAGTTTTGCCCAAGCAGGAATCAATCCTTTTGTCTGCATTTTCTCCAACAGGGAGCTGAGGCGCTGTTTCAGCACAACCCTTCTTTACTGCAGAAAATCCAGGTTACCAAGGGAACCTTACTGTGTTATATGAAGGAGCATCTGTAAATCTTTAGCCTTGTAAAACACTAACCTTCTCTGCTAAGCAATTGTGGCCTGTAGCCATTTCTTGAGAAGAAAATCAAGAATGGGATCAGCAGTTATAAGGATTTGGGCAACATTCTGCAGTCTTTGCAATAGTTCACCTATAATCCTATTTTAAATCTCAGAGTGATCCTGCTGACTGCCGGCGAAGGTTTGTAATTAAGAAAGGACTGAACCACTGCCCTAAGTTTCTTTATGTGGTTGAAAACTAGATAATGAAAGTAGCAGGTGCTAAGTATCAGTGCTAAATGCTGTGTATATGACTACTTACGAAAAAACATCAAAAAAAACCCAATTAGCATTGGACATCTTAATAAATTAAGTTGACATGAGGTAAATGTGTTGATAAAAAACTAATTTTAGAAGTTTGAAGACTTTAAAACATTTCATACTATTATTGTTTTGCAAGGACTAAAATATTTGGGGACTTGAAGTACTGTAATTCACTAAAGACATGCCATGAATTAATTGGATTATCACTTTTAAAAAATCGCCTTGTAAGTTTTGGGGAGCATTCCAAAGCAGTATATTGGTTCCAATTATAGTTTACTTTTTTGTATTAATACATTACTATTTCTAAATACCGCTTTCCTTATCTACTAGTGAAATTGCTAGCATCGAACTGTATTATGTGGTTTTTGTTGATTTGGTATAAAGTTTTTTCTAATTCATCTATATTTTATGAATACTAGATATTGGTCTGGGAGGCAACATTAATGGTACCAACCAGTCACAATTGAACAGTTCTAATAATGCAGAATAAACACATGTTGCCTTAAAGGGTTATCTAGTATCTTTCATCTTGTTTAGTATTGGAGCAAATTGGAGTCAAGGGAAACTGAATCAGTAACTGGTCATGGTCGTGCATCTGGAAGTGCATGGACGATCATTTAACACTCTTATTCCTTTTTCCTCACATGATTTGAAAATTAAGGTGCACATCACTGGGATAATGAAATTTTCTTCTGAGGTGTGCTACCCATTCTAGTGTGTTCTAAGAAGCAGGCAGTTGATGTGTGTTTATATTTTAAGTCGGCTGTTAAGGGGAGATCACAGCCTTAGTATGACATCTTGCACAATTTGTGAAGCATTTATCCTACCGAAGGCACAGTCTTGTTTATACTTTCTGCACATTCAGTGTATTGGTCGTTTAAATTATTTCAGTTTTAACTTGTGAAAGCTTATAATATAATTTCTGGTATTTTAGAAATACATTAGAGTCTGTGAGTCTCATTCCTTAAGATACAGATGTGTGAATTTCAATATAAAGTTGCATTTGCCAAAATTTACTTGTGTAGCCTGTTACTTTTCTTGAAATAAATTTTACATTTTTGGCACTTAATTTTTCTTACCAGGGAGGCAAGCACAAACTAGCAAGACTAGCTTTATTATAGTTTTGTTTTTTTTTTATTTTTGTAGCTACTTTATATTGTGGAACTGGAAATGCATGAATGAAAGGGAGTATAAAGCTGACAAATAATAATGTCTGCAAAAGCATTATTTGGTAGCTTATCATACTTATTTATTCTTACAAGCCAGAATATTTAAAGATGTAAACCTGCTTAGCTGGTTGGTTCAGAATTTTAATATAGACATCACATTTTAATTTGGGCCATGGTGGAAATCTTGGATTCTAAATATATAACTTGTAAAAAGAATGGTTTATAATTACATTATGACAAAAACAGAAAAGTTGTTATTGCTTTTGTTTGTTTGGGGTTTTTATTTTTTATTTTTTTTACTGGTACCTGAAAAATAAGATTAGGAAACTAGTGGAACAGAATTATTTATTGCTACAGTGTTTCTGTAAAGAACATCAATATAAATATAAGTAAGGAAAAAGAAATCATTGAAATATCTCAATGATATATGCAGTTTAGCTCATATAAGGGCAACTCAAGCCATGATTTAATAAGCACTTGGTTTGAACTCATTTTTACTTTATACTGGACCTGAGACAAAATTTAATATACAACAATGGATTGAATCTAGCAATAAAGACCCCTTTTTAGTACTAAAATTATCATCTAAAATACAATAAAGGAAATGTTATTGAAAGATATTCTGATAACATTATGTTTCCAATTCAAAAGTTTACAGTGGAGACATAATTACCACAAGTATATTTATAAAAAACTTTGCTGAGAGGTTCAAATATCACCAGCAATCAGGAGAAAACTCAGCAATGATTTTGAGGCCAGAGAGACCAGGTTTTCTGAACACTGGCCTCTATTACATGCGAAAAAAATCTGAGGCATGGATTAAGAATAGGAAACTGGGGAGTCGACAACAACAACCAAGTGGGGTTGCCTGATTCTACCTAGCTATCTGGAATAACACATTCCAACAGCTTAGGTAAGTGATCAGCTCCAGTGATCAGTGAATAATGCTGAATTGTAGTGACCCTCATTTAAGCTTACTCTTGACTAGCTTGGTATTTCAGGTCAAGGGGCAAGCAGTGGGTGAGATACATCCCCAGTTAATCATGCTATTTATAAGTCAATGAGTAATGGTAGCAATCATATAAAATAAAAGTCTGCTTCAGTGTCTTAATGACCAAATCACATTATCTATTTTGGTACTCATTCCAATATTCAATATTTTGAAACAGTTGTAACTAATTCAATTTGGAAATATTACTAATCTTCAACCCATAAAAATACATCCCCACTGGGGAGTTCAACTTCCTTGTGAGAAAAACCTATTATCAATAATAATGTGTCCCTCTAGGACTAATTATATCTGAGTTGAACAGGCTTTAAATTGTTTTCCTTAATAGTGGTGATGTGTTTGCATGGATATGTCTACACATCTCATCTGGTTCCTTTTGCACACAGTGGGTTTATTTGTGAGATACCCAGCCAGAGCTAGGCTTTCAGTTTATAACCGTGAAATCCTATGTAAATATTAACTGAGGCAGAAGGAGGTGAGTAACTTGTTCAGTTTCTCATAGTGGCTCCATTTAAATAATACAAAAGTGATCACAGTGACAGGTAGTAGCAACAAGTTACAAGTGTTACAAGAGTAAATGTTTCTAAGATGGACTTGGTAATAATAACTGTAAATGGACTGTTTTCCATTTTTCCTTCAGTGCCTTATCACCTGTCTTTTCCAGTATTCCCTGGGGTCTTTTATACATCAACTCCCTCAACTCAGAGGGAAGCCTCCCTATTCTGCTCACATTTCATGTATATGAATCACTGTGCTGTGTTTTGGAACCCTGAGTTTCCAGTTATTAGTGCTATATACAAAGTAACAGCAAACCCTGAGTGTTAAAAGTTCTCCCATGTCCTGACTGTCCACTTCCACTTAAGAGACATTTCAATTCCTTGAAGAGATAGGGATGTGGTGTTCTTCCCTACTTGCAACTTCCTGCAACTTAGCATGAGAATGCCTGGGTAAAGTGCAATCAAAAGAAAGCACTAAAATGCCAACTCCCAAGGTACTCAAGCAAAAATAGGAATAACCTGTGAAACAGGTTACATGTCTTTCATTATGAAGGCATGCTACTCCTTCAATGTCTTTCTTATTCCTTACTGTAGATACAACAAAACTCCCTACCTCACCCCCATCAGCTGAAAAGTTTATTTGGCCTCCAAAATTTACTTCTATTGCAAATACGATGAAATGTACAATTAGAGACATATCTTTTTCAGCTAAGTCATATAATAGTGAGTTGTGTTGCAATGGGAATTACTGTAGGAGAGCTGCAAACAGAACCAAAACCCTTCCTTTCTGTGTATTCATATTAGATATATTTACTTTGTTCTATTCTTTATTCCACATATAGCAAAACTATATTGTTATTAAAGCAGAACAAAAACTCTAGCTTATATTAACTATATGAAAAAGAAAATTAATAAGATGACAAATGGCAGTGTTTCAAATACTGGCTAAACACAAGGTGAATGGTTCCCAGAGTTATGGGTTATTTAAGACTCTAAAATCATGTGAGTTTATTTTTCTATGCAAAAATGAATCACTTTCATGTTTGTTAATATTCTCTTTTAAATGCTTTTAATGGAAATTGCAGGGTCTACTAAAATAATTGTCTGTTGCTGACTTTTTTTGCTGTTGTTCTTGATTCTGAGCATGCTATGACTTTCCTAATTTTCTCACAAGCTTTTTTTAATACCATATTAAAATGATGGAATTGCTTAATTTTGAGGCACAATTTCAAAATTAGTCTATATGTGGTGCAAACTAAGATAGCATTTGGAAATGGCTGGATTATTTTTTATCATCAGTCAAAGCAGTCATAAAAGCTAAAGGGCTATTGAGAACTGGGGTTTTGGAGAAAAGATTGTTTGGCTAACTCATTTTGCCATTTACTGCATTGTAACAAGCAGTATATAAAAAATATATTTAAACCAAGAGGGTTTAACTTTATAAAAGGATTACATAAACAAGATCTTGTTTTTAAAAATAGAGAAACAATTTTTCTGTCATCTCCTTTTGCTAAGGGGATGATGTCCATTACTGCTCAAAAAGCTATTAAAGCCAGTTTTCCTCCCACCAAATTAGGCAGTTAATACAGGGGCTGGAGCCCTGAAGGCCCCAGAGGAAAGTAAAGAGTGTGTTTCCCTCTGAGTGACTGTGAAAAAAAAGGCCTTAAAGGAGTCACAAGTGGTTTGGGGCTTGAAATTATTCACACCCGGCATCCTTTCTGGTACCTCATCATCCTCAGAAAGACATAGAGTCTTGGCTTAGAGGCAGAAAACAGTTCTTTTTTTTAATCTGTGTGTTTGGAAACATATAGATTCTTGATACAAGTATTAAAATTGACATTGTAATGCATGTCCTGAATTACTGGGTTTTGAATAGACAATAAAATATCATTTAACTTATATGGATGTTCAAGATCATGTGAATAATGATCATTGGGAAGTAAATCATTTACTATATCAAGGGAAAAAGTTATTATATTATTTTAAAAACTTTAAAGCTGAACTGATAATTGAGTTTCAACTAGCTAAAGGTAACTGGTTGTTTCTTTTCATAGCTTTAAGAAAGAAAAAATTGAACTAGATGAAAGAGAAGTTCATTTTTTCTCCTCTATCCAAAACGATGTTGAATTGAGAGACTTCATTTTCTTCAGGGAAAAAAGGAAATTTTTGATCATTTTTAGTAAGCATTTTTACTTAAATATAATTCAATTCAGCAATCATTTATTGTGTGCCTATTGCATTTACGATCTTGGGCAACTTACTTAACCTTTCTATGTCTCCTCAAGGGAAAAGGGATAATAGAACATACATCCTGGGGTTATTGAAAGGATTCAACAAGGGCATCCTTATGGAGGCCTTAGAAGGAATTCTGGCATCTTAAGTAAATTTTAATTTTTACTGATTCTCTCATAGTTCACCATCTAGCAGCAGAGAACAAATTATGAGACAATGTGATAAGTGCTGTAAGAGAGATATGTGAGATAAGTGTGAGAGAGACACAGGCAAGCAATTAACTCTGTGAAGATGGGAGAAGGAAGGTGAGATAGAAGAGGTAGCAGCTGAGCTCAATCTTGAAGGATAATTTTAAATTTATCTACTTGACAAAGTTAGGAAAGCCATTTCAGAGAAAGGAAATAATAAAATGAGCAAACTGTAGATCAACATAAGGATCCACTATTAATCAGAAAAGTTTAATGTGGTGTGGCTGAGTCTTTGGTGCCTGGAAGAGGAAGACCACGAGGGCAAGGAGATTAAAAAGCATAAGATTTGGAAGTTCAAGTTCTTATTCTATATCCCTTACTATCTTTATAATCTTGAAAACAGTTTATTAAACTCTTTGAGTCTCAATTTGCTTACCTGTAAATGGAATAAGTGGCAGCAATCACAATATTTTTGAAGACTGCGTTTTAAGGATCAAAAATGAGATGATAATGATAACTATTATTAAGTACTTTGTGCTGAAGACAGTTTTAAACACTTTTCATATATGAATTCACTTGATTATCACAATAAGCAGATGCTGTTGTAATCCGTACTTTACAAATGAAGAAACTGAAGCACAGAGAGCTTAAGTAACTTGCATAAAGTAGTAATAGGAAAAAAATGGATGTAAAGTATTGAGAACAGTGTGCAGCCAAGATTGACCATTCAGTAAATACTGGCTATTATTATTGTTGTTGCTTCTATTATTGCTATTGCTATTGTTCATTTTAACAAAATAACTGTAAAAGGTTAAAGGTTAATGGGAGCTGAAGTAACTGAGCAGAAACAGAGTTCCAGCCCTCAGACTTCACCTCCACTTTGCTATTCTCCCTCCTGTTCCACTAAGGGAAGCAAAGAAGAGTAGGCAGTAACTAGGCCCTCTCCCCTCTCACATAGGATCATATTACCAAAGAAACAAGAGTATCCGTCTGATCTTTCATATGACTGTTTAGAATAACACTGCTCATATTATATCACTCAAATTTTGAAAGTGGACTACACAACTCATACCATATGGAGAGTTTTATCTACATCTAGCTCATATTCTTTAGTCTTAAATCAGTGTTGTCACATTTTATATAAAGTTGAGATTTTAAAGGGATGGTTATTCTGACTGGGTAAAATCTTTTCGTGAAGTCCGTTATCTAGTCTCCCTTTAAAGGCCAACTTTCAGGATCACCATTCTCATGTCCCAACTGCTTACACTTACTTTCCTGAAATCTCTCTAAAGCCTTCTGTAACTAGCATTCATAACTATACATAGTAAAGGAATGATTAATGGAGAATATAATGGCAGAATTACAAGTCCTGCCCACTTGGCATTCATGCATCCACATGGTCCTCACACTGTTATAAACTATTGACTTGTCATGTATTTACACACCTGGCCATCCTTCACTGCATTTTCTAAAGCTGTTGAGCCCCCCGACATCCAT